GATTCTAATTTTTAGGTTCCGGGACAAGAGGCGCGAACTCAGTAGTTTTGTCACAGAAAAATAACAAGCATTTCCCGCCTTCAGTCTAACCTTAATCTCTTCTTCAATTTCGTTTTTTCTAGTTATCGTAGAACCTAGATACCTAAATTTATCTACCTGTTCAAACATATTACCATCTATATCGATATCACCAGTAGTATCGCCATTTTTGCAGCTAACCATATTTTGTTTTATCCACGTTTATTTCGAGTCCTAGTTCTTTACCGGCTTTCATTAACGTTGTCATATTTAGTTTTATAGTTTCAAAGTCTTCGCTTAACAGTACCAGATCATCAGCATAGCCCAGCACGGATGTTGTCCCGCCCAGATCCAACCCTTTCTCGGTTCGCATTACCTCCCTAATGGCATGTTCTAATGCCAAATTGAACAGGACAGGAGAAAGAGAATCCCCCTGTTTTAAACCCGAACGGACCTCAAATTTTTCGGACAAATTATTACCGATTCTAACTTTATTGAGTGTCTCCGTCAAGCACATCCTGACTAGATTTACTAGTTTTTTTGGAATCCCCTGCTCGATTAGAATATTATACAGTTTCTGACGGTCAATAGAATCGTAAGCCTTTTTAAAATCTATATACAGCTGGTGAACAATACCGTTATACTCCAATTTTTTCTCTAATATTTGCCGTAAAGAAAATATTTGATCAATTGTCGAACGATTCCGTCTAAATCCGCATTGGTAGTCTCCGATAATTTCCTCGGCGTATTCCGTGATTCGACTGGTTAAGATTGAAGTGAATATTTTATAACATACCGGAAGGAGTGAAATTCCTCGATAGTTATTACAATTCGTCCTAGCGCCCTTTTTGTGAATCGGAATAAGAATAGATTCTTTCCATTCTTCAGGTAATTTCTCGTTCACCCAGATCTTTTTAACCAACCAGTTAAAAAGGTGTTAGGTTTAAGGTAGGTTTTATCCTCATCGATGCAACCTGACAGGGCTTAAATAACGATTTTTCAATATTTTTCCGCTAAAGTATCTTAAATTTTTTTATTTGAAATAATTAACTATTTCACATTTGAACCTACTATAAAAAATCGTTAAATATAGTGAATGAAGACATAATATTGGAAACTAAAGGAGATATGTGGATAGAAAGCTACACGGCACTAGCGGATCCAGGATTATTTTTAGGGGGGCTTCAGCCCAAAAGATTTTTATTCATAAAAATAACGATAATTACTTTGGAAAAAAGAAAGAAACTAACTATCTATATGTAAATGGTGTTTAAGCGATTCCTAAAGTCCTTTTAAGTGTAATTACAATAACACTTTAAGAGATAAGTTTTTAATATTTTTTTTCCATAAAACATGGAATATTTTATTTTATATTTTACCATTTTGGGGGATCATCAGCCCCAAAGCCCTCCGTCCGTACATCCGCCCGTGCTACACGATATAAGCTTTATAGAAAACTCGGCTGTTTAGAAGAAGATCCTGGACCTTTGCCGATCCTCTCCATTTACAGATACCCGATACTCATCTGTACAAGGCTTTGATATTATTAGTTTAACTTTTATGTATCATTTATCCAGATTTTTTTAAAAAGGTTTTCACGCGAAAAATATACTAATATAAACCTAATAATATGCAATATTTACTAACGTTAAGATATTTTTTCAATTAGTTTTGTGTTTCCGTAGTAATAGAAAAATGTTTCCGATAAAACTCAAAATGTTTCCAAAAGATCCGTTTTCCCCATAGTTATTAGTATTGTTTGGCACTATACACAATCGTAAAAGGAAATGGGAAGTGATGTATAATTTTAAATGTATAAATTTAAATTATTAAATGGGCGGGAAAAACATGTTAATTAATTGTTTTCAATGAAGTTATACCGTCGTTTTCACTTCGATTTCCCAATATATGAAAATACCTATATTCTGTAAGGTTGTTAAGTGAAAGTTATGTGATGCGCGCACTGCTCCAGATGCTTTAGTTATCCCTTCCTATTCTAGAAATAATGCAACTTAAAAAACACAAAACTAGAATTTCCAACTTTTCTAAAATCGGACAATTGTTTGTTTATATAAGCTTCTTTGTTGCTATTAAGGTATGCTATCACCCTTTTAAATATTTCCCTCAAACGATGGAATACCCTACTTAATCCCAAATTTGCTTGGGCCATCGTCCCTATTATATCCTCATCACATGTCCATACCATTTGAGCCTCTTAGCTCAATGATACTGGGGATGTTCCCCATTTGTTACAAAACTACAATTTAATAAAAACAAAATTTTAGATGATGATTAAAAACGACATAGAAATCAATGTAGCAATTTTTATTACATTGTATAGAAAATATAACCAAGATATACAAATACATATGATGTTTTATAGAAATATTTTTATTTATATATTATATTCATCATATTGTTACCAAAACAGAAACATCGTCCATGAAGATGGGCTAAGAACTCGAAACGTTGACAAATGAAAAATAAAAGATACAATGATCATATAATAAACGAAACAGGTACCTCATAGTATTCTTTTTTGTCATATATCACAAAAAAAAAAAAAAAACTGACCTGGCTTTTTTCTATCCCTCACCCTCTTTATTTCTACAACTAACCCTCTTAATATCTTGTCACGTTAATTATAGATAGGAACATGAACATATCAAGTTCCTTACGTTTTATTCTTTGTTGAACCCGACATCTTTGCTGGGATTCTCCCAACCTAACGTTCCTAAGATGGTCTCCATAGAGCAGGGGCAGGCAACCCTTAGCTCCATATCCGATGCATTTGGAGCCAATCTGGCAGTGCCCTTTCAACCGACTCACTCAGGGACATGGATTGTGTCAAATCGATCTAAATCCATGGATTATGGTCACGCAGAGTCTGCAGGCTCTCGAGGACCTATACTTTTCCCTCGGAAACAGACCTTCCATGGAAAAACCTTAGGAGGCTACTAATGAAATCCCTTGGAAAATGAAATCGTGATTCCCGACTAGACTACACAGGGTAGTGTCATCAATAGAGACCCGATTATCGTGTAGTAAAAAACTGAAAAACGTGCAGTATAAAATTCAAATCGTGCAGTAAAAATCCAAAAAGAGTAAAATTGTGTATATAACACCTTAAATCTGTATAAATCATAATTTTTGTTTTTTAAACAATATTAATACATGAAATGCTTGTCTACTCCTAAGTTGGAGTTTCAGCCTCTACATTGAAGTACACTTAACGTGTATTAACCTGAGAAAAAAAACTAGTTCTAATTCAACAATGAACTCCGATTAAACCAAATCTAGGTGAAAGAAAAGTAACATATAAACTTAATCGCATATTTAATAAAGAATAATGTATTCTTGAGTTGAGTCTTGATGATTCATGCCGGATCCGCTCAAATATTAAATTTACCATTCAATCGAACGCTTTTATAAAGTACAAAACAGAAAAATCATGTAAAGATATTACTTAAATATTGTATAATATATGTGATTTTATCTATTTTATTTTAATCGGAATTTAGAAGTTAAGAAATGAAACTTGGATACCACGCACGGCCGCCTTTGTAGCTACGACTACAGTCCCAGCTGACTCCCCCCTCAGGGGTGGTCAAGATAAATACATTTCATTAGATAGATGCATGGCGAGATGCAATTAGATATATGTCAAGATACATTTAAATTCATAAACACCTATGTACGTATATGTAAAAAATGAAATTAAAACCGAAATTTATCTTAAAACTGCTATTGAGACTGAAAAGGCCAAAACGTTATTCTACAGGTCATGAAACGGTTAAATAATCGGATTAGAAATGTTCACACACAAGCGAATAAAATAAGCAATAGCATGAAAATCCGATCTCTAATCATTACTCATGACATTATCATGAAACAACAACAAAAGAACTAAAAATACAAATAAATGGGCAGAATACTGATCATATGCTAACTTCAAGAAAACCGAATCGAACAAATGAACTTGTCACTGTAGGAAACTACAAAACAACTAATTAAAACCTTTAAGTATTTTGGTTCGCTAAGTGCAGAAAATGATAAAATCGTTGTGGAACTGAAAGCAAGGATGCCCACTTGGAAAAGATGCTGCTTTGCCTTACGAAAATGGTGAATTATAGATCCTTTTCTAATAAAACTAAGATCATGGTGTATGAGAAAGTCATTCGACCCGTAGTAATCTAGGTTTTTGAGACCTGGATTTGAAGGGTAGGGGAGATTTTACACAAATGAAGAGCTGCACGAGATCTATGTGAGGTCAAATTTGGTTTCTATCGAGGGAGGATCAATCGGATGGTTAGTAGTTCATGTATGGCCAGAGATTCAGTTTCCTAACTCCAGAATCAATTTGGTGAGTATGAAAAGAATGCTAACCAAAAGATGAATGTTCGCCCGGGATAGAGAAAAATGGAGAAAATGAGAAAGATCCAGTCAGGTTATGGCAGTCCTTCGCTACCGATTCCATCAGTATATCTTTAGAAGACGAAATTGGAGGATATTGCACATACCTAAGTTTTACAAGGAACGGGCAGAGAATAATGCTGGCTTTATGTTAGTAATTCATTGTTCATCAAAACATACATAATCTAGAGATGGAAGTAGTGGAGGAATATCAAGACTTTATCAGTTGTGAGGAAATTTTGGCTATCTGCAGCACTCACTCCAGGTGACGCTCAAGATTTATTTGCATTAATTCCATGGCTCTACTGTGATTTAAAAGTCTGATACTTCTTTGGGACTTTTAGGTAGTAAATTTGATGTCACAAAATTTCAAATAAATAAAAATAGGTCACTTGTCGCTTTAAAAACAAAAAAAATGACAAAAATATATGGAGAAAAAAAAACCATGTGTAGCACTAAGTAAATAGGTTATAAAATATATCAAAATTTAAAGCTACAAACTGGTTTGGAAGAAGACTGCGGCGCACTGGCTGGTCTGGCGGTGGGGGCCAGATCTGGCCAGTAGGTTATACAGATCGTCATCAAATGCAGTTCTAGTTGGGAAGAGCGCCCTAGCAAGATACAAGCTCGCAAATAATATGGAACCCTTTATAGACACTGTCTCTTGTAGTCAGTGCAGTGTTATTTACCAGAACACAAGAAATGGGATTGTTCAACCTCTACTTACAGGTTACTTTTCTATCCTTTTTCCTATTTACCTCTCTTGAAGTTTGAGAAACTCTAGTTCAAAATCTCTAAATAGTCTAATAACACTGTTTTATTTACCCTAATTTCTGCATAACTCATATATTGTTCTAACTGTTGACAAATATTCAATCAAACAAAAATTTAATTCTAATGTTTTGTGATGGTTGTTTTTTGTTGTTGTAGATTTATACCAAATTACAATGGCCTATGCTTATTGGAAATCTGGGAGGGTAAAAGACTGTGCTGTGTTTGATATGTTCTTCAGGCGGAATCCATTTGATGGTGAGTTCACGATATTTGCTGGCTTGGAAGAGTGTCTCAAATTCCTTCAAAACTTCAGGTATTCAGATAGCGGTAAGTAATAGTGCAATGATCTCAATACAATTTATTACAGATGATGTTTGACTCACATCACTTACAAATTTGCCAACAGTCGATTGTGAAAATTATATTTTAGTTAAAAGGACCATTCCCGTAAGAATAAATTATGTTTTTAAATATCATGAGTGTTATATACCAAGGGCAACTGGTCTTGCATAATGTCTTCAATTTGAACATTACTATATGTGTTGTATTAACTAACTTTTCACAATTTTACATTGCTATGCTTAATATGTGGAGTTTAATTAATGTACCAATAAGAGATGTAAAATTGTCCGTCCATTTACTTTAGTATATTGCTTCAATAATTAAAGTTTGTCACATCTTAACACATATTAAAATGAAGATGAAAAAATGGGTTAATCAGTTGATGTTATAGGTTAATTTATGTTTTAGATATTGAATATCTGAAAATGACATTACCAGGCAATAAAGAAGAAGAGTTTTTTACCTACTTAAAACAGCTTAATGCAAATGACGTCAAGATCTATGCTATTGATGAAGGATGTGTAGCTTTTCCTAGGTAGGTTTGCTGGTGCTCTTGGTAGGTGATTTTCATTCTCACCATCTCTGTTCTCTAGTTTTATTTTATTAAATATATATATCTTTTTTCATTAGGGTTCCGTTGATGCGTGTTGAAGGTCCATTGATTATTGTACAATTGTTGGAAACCACTCTGCTAACTCTTGTTAATTATGCAAGGTAAATGCTTTCTTGAAAAAAAAAAAAAAAAAAGAAAAGTTTTTATACTAATGTTAAAATACATTTTGACCATAAAATATGAATATATTGATGAAGATCTTAATCATAAAATATGTATATAGTAAGAAACATCAAGAAAAAAACATTATATTCCAAGGGTATCTAATGGTTTTTTATTTTAAATTCTATTTTATTATTTAAAACAAATTAATAATTAAAATGTTAATGCCTATTTTCTCCTTCAGCCAGTGAAGTTAATGAGTTTTAGTCATTTTCTCATATTTCTATAGAAGTACAGTACCTATTTCTCTATGTACTTATCTTAAAAGTACAATTTACATTATGTTGATATTTTATTCCTTTCGATTTGTTTTAATCTTCATAAAATTTATTAGTTATAGAATCACTCTTAAGTTTTAATTTACTTGTATGATTTTCTTTGCATTATCAAAGTATTTCACTGATTCTTTTTTAATTCCTAGTTTGATGTCTACAAATGCAGCAAGATACAGAATAGCTGCAGGGGCTAATATTCAGTTATTGGAATTTGGTCTCAGAAGAGCTCAGGGTCCAGATGGAGGCCTTTCAGCTTCAAAGTACGCTTATATAGGTATATTAATGCTAAAAATAATGCTTTTCGAAAACAAATTTAGCTACTCACTTTTTCATTTGTTTATTTTTTTTTAAATTAAACATCTATTATAAACTTTTTTAATAATATAAAAAATAATTATTTTTCAACTTTTTTTATAGTAATATTTATGTTAGTTCTAATCGTTTGGTCTGGTTAAAATTATTATAAAATCAATATTATAAGGATTCAACTATATAGACAAGATTTTTTTCTTCACTTTCCTTCTAAGTCTAATAACTTACTTTATAAACAAAGTAATATTTGCTTTGATTATTCTGTTTTACTTTTCCTTCTATCAACTCTCTATTTTTGACAATTATTGAAGTTTGTTCTGCCAAAGTAGAGATGGAATCAGCCTTTATTTTTAATTTGTTTTTATTTGAAGTGATTTATTATTTTTTATAATTTCATATAATTCATTTATAACTGGTACTTAATGGTTTCTGCAAATCATTTACATAATCGGAAAATTGAAAATCTATCTTTCAAAGTTATTTATAATTATTTTTTTTTTTTATTGTTTATACTAAGTTTTTGTGTTTACAATTGATTGAATTTGCGGAAATTGATTCATTATATTTTCATAAGATTATTTCCAATTTGCTGTAACATTATTTTAGAATTTTATGATTTGAAATGCTACAGGAGCAGCTTATCAGTTGTTTTCTTTCCATATCATAAAATATATTGATAAGAAAAAATATTTAGATTAAGTGGATTAATTGTTAGTGAATGAACGATTTATTTTTGTCTTGTATTACTTTATTTTTCTCCGATTCATAAAAATATTTGTTAAGGATTATAGTACCTTAGTATAATTGTTGAACTTTTGAAATGACCTCGCTAAATATAATAAGGAGCTAACTATTTATTTATACATATACTATATTTAAGATGTATTGGTTTAAGTATAATTTTTAAAGCACTGGTTAATGTAACTCATGTTTTGGTGGACAAAACTGAAAAATATAGAACTGAGGTCAAGGGTAAGGCCATGTGCCGACTGGTCAAGGGCAGAGAGAGTGAATGTGTTTGATGTCACTATTCACAATTCCCTTATCATCTAGATCTAGGTTTTCAATCATTTATTTTTTGTTGTTGTTTTTTTCACTTGTAAAAACAAATAATAAAACATCTTTACTTCTGATTGTAAATGAATAATCTTAAGTTTGTTATTGTTTATTAACTGATTTTTCTCAACAAGAAATGACGATTAGACTTGCAATTAATCATTGGCAGTAACTTTTATAATACCCCCTTTATTTCTTAGATTTTAATTTTTTGAGTAAATATTAAAATTTATCTTTAAATGAATTTTGCTCCCAATGAAAGTTCTAGTAATTGTTTTATTGCTACATAATTTTTTATTGACTGCAACTTTTATAGCTCCATTGTTTCTCGCATTTTTAATTTTTGGAGAAAATAATAAAATTTAGCTTTAAATATATTTTGTCTGCAATGCAAGTATTACAAATTTTTTTATTGATTGATTATCAAAAATCATATTTTATTTCTTACCAAGTTAGTATCATAGTGTAATTTATTCAATGTATCACTTTAAACCAATCCTGTTCAGTTCTTTAAGTGCACGTTTGGCCAATCCCTAAGTAGATGATTGTTTTTCCAAATTCATATTTAGGTGGGTACAAAAAAAGTGATAATATGTGTTACATAAAACATTTTAGATGTTTATATCATCATTCAATTAATGAATTTAATAATTTAGTTAACAAAATGCTCAGAGATATATTTTTAAACAAGTTGTAAAATTATTATTTTCCAGTATACTGAAAAATAATTATTATTGTAGTATACTGAAACCATTATTGTTAAACTCGTTTTATTTGTGTAACATCATCATATTTAATAAAAAATATTCAGCTTTATTTTATATTTTTCATATTTATTTAATTAAACATGAAATTAATTCATTCTGTGCAGAGAAAATTATGTATAAATCATGTTAAACCTTTGCTTTGCGTGGAATAGGTATTCTTTGATAATATTAAAAGAAAAAAAACTTATTACATTTAATATAATGCAGCGAGACTGATCTTATTTATGCTTGCTGTAATGACTATTTGAATCATTGAAAATTGTCGAGGTGTTTTACTCTTTAGTTCATCTCATGGCTCAGGAGTTTAATAGTAATTGGACTTAATACATTCGTAATTTACATATCATGGATAATTTGATTCAAGCTATTGACTAGCCTAGAAGAGAGGAATGAAAAATGATCTTAAAAGTTTTGATAGGGGTGCACTGCAGAGGTTGCGGCTTGGCCCTTAGGCAGATATTAGCCAAGGTTATGACTATTGATCAAGATGGCGCTAAGCAGCGCCTGGTACCACTTTCCACTACCAGCCCAATGCCACGTGCAACTCATCATTACTTTTATTTGTTAGCTTGAAAGAAACTCATCATTTCCATTTATACTTCATTGGTTTCTTATGTTTCTTTTACTTCTGTCAAAAATAAAAACTGTTCATCTTCTTGAATTTTAAATCATGTTAATATTATTTTATAGTTTTGTTTATAATGGAATGGTCCTCATCTGTTTTTAGGTCCACACTTCTCTTTAAGTATTTACTCTAATGCCATGATTCTATATTTCAAACTGACAGTATATAGACTTAACTAATTGTGGTATAAATAATTATCTAAAATTGAAGCATCAAGTGAAGATGGAAACTTTAAAAACCGATTGGTTACTTCTGTTTTGAAGTTCGAACCATTATTTTTCACCTAAAGTTGTACAAAGTAACCTTTTGACACCTGCTTACTAAATTAGGCATCCAAAATTTCCACCCTTCAGCATTTTAGGCCATAAAGTAAATTTTAGACTTGGTGTCTTTCTCCTCTGAAACCAATGATTTCCAGGGAAATCAACATCAATATTTTTATTTGTTGAATAAAGAATTATTAAATTAATTAAAAGTACACAATTAATTTGGAAATGATTCAGATAAGAAATATATCCATTCAAAAATGCTAATAATATTATAAAATCTATATAACATTGTATAATTTATATACTATTAATAATACCATAGAGTTTTTAATTCGAACATAAAGTTAATAATATCAAAAAGTCATAGTTGGCAATTTTTTACTTCCTTTGAAATTCTTTATTTCTGCATTATGAATACTTTATGTTCACGTAAATAAAACTTATTGTTTAAAACTATTGTTCACACATACATTTTTTCTCCTTTTGTTATTTGTTATAAATTATCTATTATAAATTTTCTTTAGTTTATTTTCATATGTAAACAGATATAATTTAATGAAACCAATGGGTAGTGAAAATTGCAGTTTATGAAAATTATAATCAAAGTTAATAGCAGATAATTTATAATATATAACAAAATTAGAAATAAAAATATGGGTATAAAAATATTTTTCAGACTTGAAAATGGCCTAAGTTCTGTTCGAAACGTTCTGTTCTAAAATTTTCATTCTCTTGAAAAATAGAATTATATATTATGACAATTAATGGTAATGATTTAGGATACTATTTGCTATCTATATAAACTTTATTGAGGCAGTAACCTTATTTATGATTGGTCTTTTAAGTTAATGTCCTGCACTATATACATATTATATATATTATATTATATATTATATACATCATACAGGGTTCAGATATCACTCCTGTTAATTTCAACAGACTGATAGGCTTCATTTACCCTGCATTCATTCAAATGATGATTTAGTTTTTGAAAAATAATGAATGATAAAAAAATCTAAATAGGTTTATTTAGAGATGTTAGAGTGTTCATAACCACTAACCACCCAGCCTCTGTAAAGTGGATACTCTTAAATAAATAATTAATTAAGGGATAAAACCTGGCGGTTGAGCATGATTTCAGCCTTATCACCTTCCTGCACAATTGTTAGCCTTTTAACAGTCCTGAAGACTTTTGATTTCTTGAGCTCGAGGATGGTGTGACAGCCCAATGAATTAAAAATAATATAAGATATAAACATATGATGAAAATTAAAAAACAGGTTCTCATGCTCTCCCTCTCCCTACTTCTCTGTAAATTATAGTTAATGATCGACATCAATGGTTTTTGAAACTGGTTTATTTATTTTTTATATATTTTTTTTTACCATATTCAAGTTCAGTTTGACTAATAATTTTCATTATTCAGTCTTCAGTCTTGATAATTAATCTGTTAATAAATATTTTTGAATATTGTACCAAAATATTTTAATGTTTTATTTTTTCGTTTCTTATTTAAGGCAGAAAATCTGTCTGACATACAAATTTATATAATTTATAGAGGCAAGATAATAACAATTTTTTTAGCTTCAACACTTTAATTAATAAACAAAGTCTCTCATTATCAACAAACCTTTTAAAAAGAATGGTGCTTTTAAAAACTAAAATTTTCTAAATTTTGTGTTATTTCCAACAAATTTTGTATTGAATCATTTTTTACAAGATAAGCTGAATGTTTTGTCTAATTTTATATATCCAAACATTATGAATAATATTAATTCATATTGTACAATTATAATTAATAATTATTTAATATGGTTTGCTCTAGGTGGATTTGATGGGACCAGCAATGTATTAGCGGGTAAAATGTTCAATATACCTGTAAAAGGGACTCATGCACATGCCTACATAACATCTTTCAGTGATTTTAAGGACCTTAAAACTAAAGTAAGTTTATTTTTTCATTTTTGCTTCATAGTGTGAATGTTATGAATTAATTTGAAACACTCAATCGTAAAATATCGTTATTAGCATAATGAAAACTTTTAAAATATTGGAGTGTTTGTTAGTTACAATGTTTTACCTTCTATCAGTAGCCACTATAGAATAATACTAAAATTATTCTATAGTGGCTACTGATAGAAGGTAAAATTATTCTATAAACAAAGTTTATTGCAGATCTTTCAACAACATGTGATATCTATTGTAAAAACTTCAATTCATAAAATATGTTAGATACTATATTTTATGAGCGTGTGTCTTATATGAAGAACAGTTTATACATGCAAGTTTTAGAGCAATAATTGGGTCAGTATTTCATTAATTATTCCTTATGTGAAAAAGTTTTTTTTTAATTGATATTTACTACTATATAAATAAAACCAGCAAATTTGTTAAAAGAATATAAACAAAAAAACTTGTGAAGAACCTACCCATTGTTAACACTTCAATGATTAGATTAACTTAGCTGGCCCATCGGCCACGTTCTTTACAGATGCCTCAAAGGGTTGTCAGTTATTGTTTTGGATGAAAGGTTATAAACCAGCGGGTCGAGTTGACTAATGAGTTTAAAATTGAAAGTAGAATATCTAGTTTTGGTGAAATCTGCCACAAAGGGAATATTGAGGTTTCTATGGCTAATTTTATTTTTGACATAATAGGGAGCATTAAGTATTTTATGAAGGATTTTGGATTTTAGGGATTGGATACAGGAAGAATTCAATAGTTTTGTGGAGCCCAAAGCTCAATTCCATATGTCCAAATAGGCCTTACGATTCTAGTGAATATGAGTTTTTTTTTTAATATTGGAAGTTTAGAGCCTTTCTCAGGTAAGTGTTGTAGTAATCAGAATCTACTAGCAATTTATTGTCGTTTAAGTATGAGGATTTTAAGTAAGAGGTTTGTCAAGGTGTAGTCTGTCCTAAGTAGTGGATTTATTTGACAGGGGTAAGTGAAATATTATTAAAGAATACTATGGGACAAGATTTAGGTTTACGAAAATGCAATTGATTGATGGAATTGTTCAGATTTATTTTGATTCTTCAATTTTGACAGCATTCTTCAATGGCTGAAATTTGTGACTGCAAGGGTTGAGATACAACAATTAGTTCATTATTGGAAGATAACACACATGTTTCATCAGCATAGGTAGAAAGGATGTGTTTGGATATCAGCTGTATAAACTGTTTATAGGATGGGAATTAAGATGCTCTCCTGAGGAACACCAGTGAACTGGGAAAATACAGATGAATATGTAGAATTATGATTTACTTTAAAGGTTCTATCAGTGAGTTAGAAACGGATTATTAGGAAATATGTAGAGGGTAGGAATTTATAGAGTGTTTATATCAATCAGGCCTGCCAGACTTGATCAAAAGTAGGTTCTACATCGAAAAAAGCTGCTGTGCAGTACATTCTGCACTCCAGTGTGGACAATAATATCCACCACACTGCTGAACAGTGGAATGAGATGTTCGAAATCCAAACTGATGGTCAGGAATAACGTGATTTGAATCTAGGATTGAGTAAAAGTATTTTAATATAAGTTATTCTAGGATTTTACCCATGATGGGCTGCAGAGAGATAAGATGGTAGGAGGATAGGTATTAAAGTCTCTTTGGGTTTGGGTGTCATTTGTATTATGAAAAATTTCCAAGGATCAGGAAAATAGGTGGATCTAAGAATGACATTATATAAATAAATGAAGTGTAGGCTAGCTTTTTGATAAAGTTCCTATAGGATTCGGGAAGTGATGAGATTGTGACTGGTAGCTTTTTTGTAAGGTAATTTCTGAATGGTGCTAAGGAGTTATTTAAGAAGGATGAAACACTTTATGAGGTAGCGTAAATGCTTCTTCATGCACCCAGTGAGGAACAGATCTACTTCAGAGACCTAGCAACACTGCCCACACGAGCTCTTGTCTCTTTAATCCTATTCCGAGGGCAACATGACCCATTCCCGTATCCCATCTACCAAAACTTTATCCTTATTCCTATCCTTCCTTCAGGAGAACAGAAGGCTATAACATGGAACAGAAAGTTAAAAGAAGGTAACAGGATCTACTTTGCCGGTTCTAAGGGGTAAGGGCTAAGGAAAGAGTCGGTATCTTCATGACATAGGAGTTGTTCGCAAAGGTAGAGGAATGACAGCCAGTCTTACCGCATTATAGCAAACATTCAGCTCTCAATTGTCAAGGTATCCATTATACATATATATGCCCCAACAGAGGTCACAGATGTTTTGGATAAAAAATTATTTTATTTTGATCTAGAGAGGGTGTCCAATATGAGCTGAAATAAGTAGAAATGTAAGTTATAGTAATTAAGTAATTAACAAAGAAAAGTAGTTATAATGGGCGACTTGAATGATAGAACTGGTCGGGACCATAACAGAGCACATGGAACAATGGGCTCAGTTGTATGCAGCGGAGACTACAAAGAATGAAAATAGACAACTCCTCATAGGCTTCTGTGTCGACAACGACTTGCTGTATGCAACAAAATTGGACTCAGTCCTAGAAAGTATAAACCTAGATGACCTTATTGATATACTTTGGATGAACATAAAACATAAAATTATTGAAGTGGGCACAGATGTTTGTGGCTTAAAGAAAGTGTCTTTGGGTGGAAAAAGATTCCAAATGGTGGGATGACCATGTGGAAGAGGAAGTGCATAAAAATAAATTAGCCTGAAAAGAATATAAAACGGAGTGAACTCATGAAAAATGGGCCAATTATGTAACTATATGGAATGAGGCTAAAGGCATAGTTAGGGAAGCAAAACAAAAGTCATGGGAAGATTTTGGTAAGGAACTGGATTGTGATTACTAGGAAAGTACCAGATTATTTTGGAGGAAAGTAAAAGGGCTAAAAGGTATTAGAAGCAAACCAATACCAGATGTTAAAATGAGGACAGTACTATACTTTCAGAACAAACTGAAATATTAGACATATGGAGACACCACTACCAGGAGCAATTTAGAAGCCAAGTACCTGTCTGAGAACAGCCCTACTGAAGACACTCTCTATGATGAAATGATATGGAAGGAGGAAGTTGAACTCTCCCTTGAGAAATTAAAGACTGGTAAAGCTGCAGGAAGAGATGGGATATCTCCAGAACTGATTAAGTATGGTGGTCCATAGCCCACAAAAGTCCTACTGACTGTTTCAGAAACTGTAAGATGAGAAAAGAATGCCAGAGTGTAATATAATAGTACCCATCCACAAAAAGGAAAGTATGAGTGAAAATAAGATTTACAGGTCTATCTGTCTACCCTCTGTAGTACTTAATATGTCCATACTAGAGGCTTAGGCCACACATTTAACCGATGCTAGAGGACGAACAGGCTGCATTTAGGTCATGTAGACAGAGCTAGGATCTCTCTCAGAGCTGAGAAAAATAGAATTACCACAGCTGAAATGAGGTATCTTCAAAGAATGGCGGGAAAGACCAGACGAGATTGTGTAAGAAAAGAAAGAATTAGAGAAGAGTTAGACATCGAAACACTGGGACGAAAACTCGAGAAAAGACAGCTTAAGTGGTATGGACATGTCTGCAGAATAGTAGAATATAGAGAATCTAGAAGCTTCTATGTAGTCCGACCAACAGGTAAAAGACCTAAGGGTTGGCCTCGACTATCTTATGAAGATCATATATCATGGCTTTGGACGATGAAGAGGGAATTCGATGGGAGAGATGAGGGCATTCGTTAGAGACTGGGATACCTGGTTGCGCTGAGAGGCTTAAAGGAGGAAGAAAAAGAAGAAGGGACATTTGGAAAAGGGATAATAGTAAGTTCTGTTTCAACATATTCAAGATGGATTGGATTGAGGATATCAGGATGAGGGTTAAAAATATTTAAAAGGTATTCACCAAACATTTAGAACTCTTTTTCATCGGATTTTGACCAGGTCTATGATTTAGTGAGGAGTGGATGGTTAAAGCATTAGAAATTGAGTAGCTTTTTAGTGGTTATTCTTATTGATTTATTGCTGATAGTTAGATTTTCTGTCAAGTTCTGAGAATTTTGTGTTTTCTGATTTCTATTTTTAGTTTATAAATTAAAATATTCATCAGAAATCAAAATTATTTTAATTTTATAATTAATTATGAATGAATTATTATGAAAATAACTTTCCATTGGCACTTTTCTTTAAAGAATATAAATATTATCTTGCAAAACTACTCCTATGGTACTAAACTATTTTCAAGTAATTAACTTCTTTGGAAATAAATTACAGTCAAGATAGGTAATTTTTTTTTATTATTATTTTTTTGAGAGTTCTATCTTCTCTTATCAAATAGTAAAGTATTCCTTATAACCTGTCACGTTACAATATCTTCATTTCAGTACTATTTTTAGATTTTCAGAATTTCATCTGACCATTCTCAGACTCAGACTGATTTTATGTTTTTCTTATTTACTATTTCCTTAAAATTGCTTTCTTATACAATTCATACCAATATTTCAACTTGTTTCTGATTTATAGCTTTATTGCCATTTGAATTACAATAATAAATGATTTTTGTTGATAAATGATAGTTGAGTTGTTATTTTTTTTTTTTTATCTTAATAAGTCATTCTTTACTTTGACTGTACATTAATGAATGAGCTGAGGAAGAGTGGGAGAACAAGAATTTAGTGGAAATGTAGAGGAGTTAGTGGAGATAGGCTATAATTTATGACCAAGCTGTAATTAGAACTGACCTAATTAATGTACTATAATTTTTTGAGTGCCTAACACTGAAATTCAACAGTAAAACTGTAGCATTAGATTTTTTATTTTTTTATTTGAATGTATTAATTGCAAAAATATGAAGAAGAATCATTTTGTTTTCCAAAATAAACAGAAATGTTTTATGTTAAAAAAAGAAATGCTATCTTTCTTATTAAATAATTGTGGTCTGTTCTGCTGATGAATATTACCAACTCTTTCCTCTTGTTCTCTTTAATCCTAAACTTAAAAAATATATAAACTTGAATCTTGTTTTTATATATTCATTCTTTGGTTTATTTTAGTGATTTTTTGAAATTACAATGCTGTTAATACCATCGACTTAACCCTACAAGTAGAAGAGAATAGTGGAGGTTTTTATTCCAGGTTCTCTTACTCCTTTTTTATATTTTGATCATAAGTGAGGAATGCTGGTGCCTCAGCATTTCCGTTCTGCTTCCAACTATCAAAGAGTTTGGAATTATCTTATACTGCAATTTTTGTCTTTCATATAGTCATTCTTGTAAGACAAATAAGTTTCTTTAAGGTGAAACCTTTGGCTTAAAATTCTATCATCCACTCTGTGTTGTTGGTAATATTAAGAGGCTTCCATTCTTACTGTAGTAAGATTTCAGTTTTAAGGTTCTTTATCAAATTGATCTCTCGTTTCCATTTCTTCTACTTTGATATAACTCCCTCCCTGCTCTTCTGGTTCGGTAGATTGTAGATTTATAAGAGTGTATACCTAGTTCTGCCATAAATACTATTACTAAAGTATACTGCAAAAGTTGTACTAAGAGTATATTGCCATAATACTACAAAAGTTGAACTTTGTTTACACCCTTGGGTATTATTTAGGTAATCCTTACCTATATCAAGCTATTTTATTTACATATCAGGGTAATAATCTCAATTAGTTTGTATTTTTCTTTCGCTCGGTTAACATGGAGTGGGGTGATAAAGAAAACCGAATAGCCGTGATCGCCTTACAAAAAGTTGGAAAATGTAGGTCAGAGATTTTTAACACTTTGAAACCTTTGGGTATCAGCCATATGTTCTGCACTGTAAATAGATATAATGAGATCCTATCTGTATGTGATAGACCTCGACCGGGCAGTCCCCACACTGTAAGAATGGCAAATTCAGTGAGAGTAGTGGCTGCTCGAATCAGAAGAAATCCCATTCGAAAATAAGTCATGTCTTGGAAAATGGGTATCTCTGTCAGATCAATGTCTCGCAAAATAAAAATTGACTTTAGGTGTGTACATTTTGAAGAATGATAGGACAAAGCCTAACCACTTCCCTAAAAAAATTAGAGCGGATAGATGCAAAGTGCTCCTTGGCCTTTACACCAATATTGTTCATTGAAAGATTTTCTTTAGCGATGAGAAAATGTTTACAATTGAAGAAAAATTGAATCGCCAAAATGATCGTGTGTACGCACACAGCTCTAAAGAAGCCCAGGAAGTCATTGGAAGAGTGGAAAGAGGTCAGCACCCTTCCTCTGTGATGGTTTGGTGGGGAGTTTTCTTTGATCGCACCACAAAGCTTTTTGTGAAAAAAGAGTTAAAAGAGCTGCTAATAGCTATCAGGACGATATTTTGGAACTTGTTGTCAAGCCTCTAAATGATACTCAGTTTGCCTAACTGTAGAGAATGGCATGGCTCAAAGCACACCCTAACTTGGAAAGCCTCAAACAATCTGGTCCGAGCAGTAGAGAGCTTTCCTCAAGAAATGCTGCGTGCTGCTATTGATGACTGGTCACAGAGATTAAATGCCTGTGTCAAGTCAAAAGGGAGACATTTTGAGTAATTTCATTTTGTTTTACTCTATATAGATATAATTTTTTTTTCTAATAAAGTTTTTGAAAAAATTAATTTTTTTATTGAAATCTGTATATATTTCCTTATAACAAAATTTATGCCAGGACTAGGTATTTATAGGTTTACATAAACTTTTATCAGTTTTCATTTTTAAAAAAGAAATAAAAAGTACCCATGAAATAACAACACCTTTAAACTTGTATGAGCTAGACTCCTTAGGCTTGTGGCTGGAAATTTGCTGTTATTCAGTGACCATTATCGTTTTAAATAAACATAAAATAAATTTAAACAATGTATTGTATCGAACACCCGGTGGAAGAATAGTACCACATAAAATATGACAATTTTAAAAACTCATTTTTTCATAGCTTATCCATTACATTTTTATTTATCTTAAAAAAACTTCTTTACGTTATTCTTTGTTTTTCTCTTGCTTATAAGAGTTATGAAATTTTCTAGGTATCCTTTATCGGTAGATGTACTGCTATGAATACAGACAGTAACATCTTTCTTTAATAGAAACCAGAATCAATTCGGTCATTGCTTTAAAAAAAAACTAGATGATTTCGTTTTCTTCATTTTGAAGATGCTGATATCTCAAAATCAAATTTTTTTGTACTACCTCTCTTCCACTGGCTGTGTGACATGAAAAATATATAGTAATAAATAGTAAATATTTGTATGATTATTGTTGTTTAGAAATTAAAGGATTCAAATACAGGGGAAGAACGGGATATGCTTGAGCTTTCTACCAAATGGCGGGGACCTCTTTCTGAAGTTATTGACATAATGCCTGATGAAGCTTCAGACGGAGAACTTGCTGCGCTCATATCGTTTGCAATTGCTTTTCCACATGGTTTCATTGCTCTCGTTGACACCTATGATGTTAAGAGGTAAAAACTATTCAATATTGCTATAAAGGAATGGGAAATCCAATTTTTATTCCTTATTAGTTTACCCAGTTTAAATGTTCATGACTTCATTGAATTAATGAATTCTTTCCACATTTAGTTGTTTAACCGGTATGTGAGAGTTATATTGATTTGTTAACTTATTGTTATAGTTTGTGTGTAGGAATTCTCTAAATGTTATGATACAATCTATAATGTACTTTTTGTACGTGAATAAAATATTTCCTTTTTATTAAAATAACTGGGGAGTGGGGTAGCTCAGTGGTAGGACACTGATCTTCCAATGCTCAAGGTCCCAGGTTCGAATCCCGGCTCATGGCAGAAAAGTTATTTATTCTGTTTCATCAGCTGTGGGACACACCTAGGATAGAGGCATACCCAGACTCTATAAAGTGGGTACCCTTAATTAAATAATTAATCAAGGAGAAAAACTTGGCGGTTGAGCATGATCTCAAATCACCTCCTTGCTCAACCGTTGACTAAGAAACAGTATTGACTAAGAAACTTTCCTAAATAATACTGAACCCGAGACTCTTCATGGGTTGTAGTGCTACAGTTTTTTATTATTATTAAAATAACTTTTTTTTTTAATTTATAATAAAGTTGCAATTTTATTTGTTAAAAATTTGAAATTAAGATTGATTGTGAATGTAAGATTTATTTTTGACAAAAAGATGGTTTGGGTCGTGGTCATAAAATAACTTGAAACAGTGCAAAAAAAGTTTTTTTACAACCACCACCTTGGACCATCTTTTTCCACAGTATTATATTACGATTAACCATTGAGTACTCAAGTACTATTGGTACTTTAATTTTTATGTTATTTTTTTTGTCTCTTATTAAATGGTATTGCTCAACATATTTTAATATTAATATATTTTCTTTTTTTATTATAAAGAACTAGCATTTTTGGAATCAAAACTGGATTTCTTATTGCTTTTTTTTGGTTTGACTACTTAGTGAAGGATACATGGATCAATTAAAGAAATAAATATTTCTGTTGGTGTTGACTTTGATTATTTTTTCAATGAATGTTTTGGGTTTGCTTTTTGTTTATATTTTGACAATTTTATTAAAGAAAATGGAAATTATTCATAATTGTATTAAAAGTTCTCATAAGTTTGGAGTTCATAATTGAGGATTAATTATTTTATATGCGTAGTTGTCTTTTTCCTTCTTATTATCCAGTTCCTAACTCTTTTGCAACTATGTCATTATCCAATTTTTATTAATGAATGTTCAATCCAATGATAAAGATTTCTTCCTTGTTGTTGGAAGTATTTATTAGTTGATTTCATTACAGAAACAGTGAAGGTCTCCTGACATTTATAGAGGCCTTCTGAAGTATTTCATTTGGGCAGGACATTAACTTTCATCTTTTATAAAAAAATTATTATTGGTCTATCTATCATAATGGCATGTTCTTAAACTGCATGTTTATATCATAAGCTTTTTTATACAGTTAGTGGTACGTCTTGATTTTGGATTTCATATTTTCATTATCTGTCTTATTCTCTATAGATAAATAAATACAGTGAAGCGTCTCAGTTGCAGACATCGTATATTCTTAATGTAATCTCAATATAGAATAAATTTATAGATGCACGCTTGCATTATCGAGTTAACTCATTAATTTCATATGCGATATTCAGTTTACTAAAACTGTGTTGCTTAGTTGAAACTGAAGGACATCCATTCTTTGGTGGACTTGTATATTTAAGATTGCTCCAATAGTAGATCCACTTTGATTATTATGTACCTGTTTGTTTGATCAAACAATAATGTTTAAGTCGGTGGATTTTGAATCGATATCTACCATGTCACTAATTATGAAGTGCCTTCCTGCATGGTGCTTGTCTCTTTCTAATATTTTGTTTATGGTTGTCATGGCATACCTAATGATTGTTGTCTAAATCCACAGCCTCAACTAAAATGAAGAAGTTTGGGCTGTATGGGCTTCATTTCCTTTGGCTTTCGTTCCAAACTGGTGTTTGAGTTGTTCGATTTCTGGAACCAATTAGCATCACATTCCTTTTAACTTATAAAAACTTGTAATGAAAAGCAAATTTAGATTGACCAAAACAATTAGTATATAATATAAATATAAACAATTAGACTTCTTTTACTGTAGTTCTTAGTATAAAATAAAATGTATTATCTTAGCTTGCTTTTTCTTTTTAACAATGAATGATTTTGAACAAATGGGAGGGAATCATATTTGTTTGATTAGTAATCAGCTAAATTATTAAATATTTAAATAACAAATATTGAAATAACTATTGGAAAATTACTCAGTTTATCCAAAATTGCAAAGTAAGAACTTACTAAATTATGTTTCTCCTACTGTATGAGAAACTTAGTCATTTATGTTGAGAAAAAATTATCGTTTTTTTTAATGAAGTATTGTAATACAATATTTGCCCTGAAGAAAGTTGAAGGTTTCAACAAGACACTAGTGAATATAAAAGTTCGACCTGTTACGTGCCAGCACTAACAACCATGAACAGATAACTCTACTTGGACTGGTAGTTAGAGGTACAGGTGTGAAGAAAGGCTATTTGTAGCCTGTGATGTAAGAAATGAGGTACACTTAGAAAAGCAGATGTCATTAGATGAATTTATTATTGAAGAATCCCTATAAAGGCTAGCCTTATAATCCTGTTCTGCGGATATTGGAAGCCTCCAACCTTGGTGATACTTTTGCCATCCAGCTTTTAAAGATACAGTTTACATCTTTATAGAGGTGTCCTACAGTTCTAGGATGTTTACGTGAGTATACTCACTTTTTATAAGTAAGATCCTAGAGACTCCCACTTTACAGCCAATTTACAATAGCAATTAGGATTTACACAGGAATCATGTGATTGCCAAAATATCTAAACTTTTAAGAAGAAGGCATGTCCTCACCTGTGGAAACTGGTTTAAAGAGAAGTAGTTTCCATCATGACCCATGATGACAGCTGACCTTGTTAGTAGTCTCTGACAACAGAATCAGAAATATGTAAAAAGCAGAATGGTACAGCAAGTTAACAAAAGAAGGTTCAGATATTTGAATCAATGTTGGGTGACAGTCTCGAATGTTGGTACATTGATAATATTAGTATCTTCTCCAAAAAACAGGTTTTGTTTGATAGTAAAATATTTCCTCCCAGACCACTAGGTCTCAAAAATCCTAACAGAGCATGCTTCATGATTCTTAAAATTGATTTCCGTGCTCCAATGCAAACTTCTGAAGGCAACTGAGCTCTTTACTATGAATTATAAAACAGTATATGAGAGACATCTCAGGTTCAAACTGTTGAGGGAAATTGGACTTTGCATCCTGCAAAATGATCCTTTAGACAAAGAAGAGAGAGAACTATCTTTACAATAAAGTTGTATAAATGAAAACTGGTGACCATTTTAAAATTAAGTGATGCTTAAATGCAATGAATTAACACTAAAAGGATGTTAAAATTTATCAAAAATGTTTACTACCTTTTGTTGCAATGATCATCTCTTGGTAATAGCTATTGTAAAATAAAGTTTGGCTTTTTGAACAATTACTGTATCATGATAAATGTTACTGAGGAATAATCATTAATCTTTTCAATTAATTAGAATGGATTTTTGAATGAATTAATTTAAATTTATCTTCTAGTAGTTTTATATTCATTTTCCATTTTCTATTTTAAATTCCAAGCCCCGTCGTGGATGTGAAAGAAAGGTGAATGAACACTAACATCCTTTATAGACAGGATCTAATTTTTTTTTTTTTTTTTTGCTTTTTTTACACAAAACACTATTTAGCCACATGATTTTAGTAGCATATTAGATATATTTGTTTTATATTCAAATCATTTTGTTAATGTTTCTTCCAGTATTATTAAAAGTTTGAGAAATTAGATTTAAAACATATAGTATTGACCATATCCAAGTTATTGCTTGATAACTGATATTTAAATATTTTAGAGTTAATTAATATTGTACATAAACAAACAACGGAAAGGTTTTCTATATCATACACATAACACAAAATCACTGGATTCTTTTTTTGCACAACCGATTCACTTTAATTGAACAAATGTCCCTGTTCATTAGGAACTGAATTAGAAAATACTTTTCAGAATCATTTTGAAAGTTTTACTTATTTTCTGAATGATGGCTCATTGTCATCAAACTGGGACCTGTTTTCTTATCCAATTAATCAAGGTTAGTACTTACACTGTTGAAAAAAATTTTCATCAACTCACATAAAGCATGAATTCCATTTCATCATAATCATTTAGTATTGCCTGTTTCTGTAAATACAATTTTGAAACACGCTAATTTTTTTCTCTTAACATAGAAACTGAATTTCTTTTTTCAAAATATGAGTAAGCTGTTTCTTTTCATAACATTAAAGATAATAGATTAATAGTTTCTTTTTGTGGCAAGCCTCATGTTGATTGGCTTAGTCTAAATAAAGCAAATGAAATTAAACATTTTCAAAAGAATGATTGGTAGTATTACATTATTATCAATAATTGATGAAAATATAAATATAAATGTAAATACAGAGTTGGTATGAGGTGTAGTGTGATCACTTGCAGGAGCGGCCTTCTTAACTTCTGTGCTGTGGCAATGGCATTGAATGAGCTTGGCTATCGTGCAGTTGGAATTCGAATAGATTCTGGCGACTTGGCCTACCTCTCGAACAAAGCCAGGGAAGTTTTTATCAAGATTGCTGACAAGTAAGAAGTTTTACTTATTTGTATTGTAATATTGTATGAATTAATTATATTTATTCGTATACAGCAATATTGATATATTGCAAATAACATTGTTTCATCACTTTCCAACAGATACAATCTACCCTGGTTTGCAAAATTAAGGATCATGGCTTCCAATGATATCAATGAAGATACGATTTTGAGCTTAAATGATCAAAACCACAAGATAGATTGTTTTGCTATTGGTACTCATCTTGGTAAGTGTTTTATTAATTTTTGTTATGAAAATGATTGCATATGTTAAAATATCTTTCTGATTATAAAAGTAAATTTTTTAAAGAAATTAAAATTAATTGTTTTTCATTTTTTTTTTTAATAATAATGTTGGTGACACCAAACTGATTTTTGATTCCTGTTCGTAATGAAATTAACCTGATTTTGTCTCTCATGACAAAGATTTAAATTTATGTCTAAAAAAAGTATTTATGAAGTAATGAATCATGATTTTTTATCTCATTGTTGAAACTTTGCTGCTGGGGTCTCTAAACTTTTTGACCTGCATGCCACATTGATACCTCCACTACCACCTAGAGGCCATTGTTGCATGTGATAATAAAAAAAGCTTTTTCTATAAATGATACTTCAATTGTGAAATGGGTTTCTAAGAGAAATAACTCATGAAATAAAAGTTGTAATAGGCTTGTGTTTGAGTGGTTTACTAAAAATAATATTTTTAAAATTTTACCATGTCATAAAAAAAAAAAAACTTTTGTGGGCTGGATTGGAGGTGCTTAGAAGCCATAGTTTGTGGAGACCATTTGCTCAGAGAGAACGAAAAGGTAGTATCTTCAGCATCTTGACTGTCACCTGACTATAACAAAATGTGCACCGTGTGCCACTGTAATTTTTTTTTTTTTACTTTTTTATATGTATTTGGCTTTGGATAGGAAAGAGAAGGTTAAGAGTATTGTTCGGATTAAGGGTCAAAATATAACTAACCGTTATAACCGATCTCTAGGTTCAAAATAAAATAAAGTTGAGTACTTTGTATTTGAAGTAAACTCACTTTTATTTCACTACAAACTTTAATTTTAGATCTTTAGACTTTTAGACTTTTTATAACAACAATAACAATTAATCGCATATGCATATTTCAACAATATGTTAAACTATTAAATATTTATAAAATAAATATCACTTTTGATTTATTCCCTAACATCCTCTTACCTGAGGAGTTTTGAATTGTTTCATATTCATCCTCAAATGTTCTAATGCTATCTTCATTAGTATATATGTTTTCATCTTCATCATCAAATGCCCCGTCATCAAAAACCTGGCCATGGATTGATGTCTTTTTATTTTCACAAACTTTCAAAGGAGTTCCAAACAACCCAAATCTTCTTTTGTCAAAACCCGAATTGACACAATGTTGATCGTTATTTATAATAGAAATTTTGTCACCTTTAATGACGTTCTGGTACTTAATTTTAACAATTTCATACCTTTTCCTGTGTCCATCGGCCTCTAGCAATTCTGAGTCTGCCATCCCTATTTCAGGAATATGTTTCATTTAGTGATCATGGCCTCCAATAATACTAAATTATGCAACAGCGTCCTGTCTCGGCCGTTCTACTGGTACCCATTCTTCTTAAATAAGTAATTTGTGCCATTGCTTCTCATTAGTATTTATGTTTATCGATTCCAGCCATAAAGTCTGATTCATCTTGTTTATTCCATCCAGAATGATATTTGATTTTCCGATTGTTATATTGTTGTATCTTCCGTAATCACTATTTAAATTTTCAACTATGTTTACTTTCAACTAACCTTCATTATCCCTCAAGTGTATTGTCAATCTATGTATAATATTTTGTTGTAATATGTATAATATTTTCTATTAGAGGATGAAGGGCTCACTTCACACCTGTGGAGCCTGCTGCACCTGTGCTAATATGCAACAGTTAATATTTTCTTAAAAATTTGTCACGAATTGATATTAGCCATCACTTGGCGGAATCCAATTGAAGTTGTTTATGGGTTGAAAGGTCGTGGTCAGTTGCCACCAGCCATGATGACCATTACGAATTGTTGGAGTAAGATGATAAGCTGATGGGTCATCTAAGGCATTTCTTTTATTTAAAGCAATAATATGGGATTCAAGAAAAGTATTTTTGCCATTTGAATACTTATAGTTCCTTTTTTTTTTTTTTTAATTAAAAGTTACTTATGTTGTGACAGATTGTCATATAAAACATTCAATTATAAATTTATTCTTTTGTCACATTCATTCCGTTTATAATTTCTTATATTTGCCTAGTTACTTGCCAGCGGCAGCCTGCACTTGGATGTGTCTATAAGTTAGTTGAAATAAATGGAATGCCCAGGATTAAACTAAGCCAAGATGTTGCAAAAGTTACCATGCCAGGAAAGAAGGATGCTTACAGGCTATATGGAGTTGATGGTAATAATTAAGATTTGTTTATATTTAAAGATCTGCTGTGCTCAGTCTGATTGAATAGAAAAATAAATAAAAAAGAAAGCAGATGTTTCTAATATATTTTATTTCACAATACTTGTGGGTATACAATATGTTTTGTTGTTCCATTTTTAAAATAGATATAGAGATTGTCTGGTTTTCCAACTCTAAAACACACAACATATAATTGTCCATGTGTGAAGCAATCCGTCACTAAATCTCCAAATAAAAAGTACTTAATATTTAAAACATTCTCTGCCCCAAATCGTCCGATTTGGGGAAGCCTCTTGTATTCATAAATTAAAAGAGCTTCAAGGAGAAGACTTTATCAAGTTTAAAATTTGTTACAGCCATTTAGGTGCTGCAGTCTATAGCAACACACATTTTTCGACCAGCTTGAAGTAAAGTAAAATTTGTTCGGATGAAAATTTGAAGTAAAAAAATTTTATTTTCGATTGCAATGAAAATTTCTATTTGAGGGTTTATCAAGATTTGAAATAAGAATCTCAAATGTGTTTCTCCTTAAAAAGTATTTGAACTAACTTTGCTCCTTTGGCCTATATAAATTGTTTCATTTCGGAGATAATTTTTTTCGTTTTCGATGTTTTTTTTTTATCATTTTGCAGGAGATTCAGTAAGATTTCAAATAATCATGAATATAATCGAACAAATATTGTGTACTTTTTGAGTAATTCACAAATATAGTTCTGAATTCATCATTATTTTTTTCATACTCTTTTCGGGGAAACTTGTTATATACATGAATTAAAAGGGCTTCAAGGAGAAGACTTTATCCAAGTCTAATTAAAATCGTTACAGCCATTTAGGCGCTGCAGTCTATAACGACACTTTTTTCGGCCACTTTTCTGAAATGAAAGGTCAGATGGTAATTAAATGCATATAAAAATACTCCTCAATCGAATAGAAATGTTTTGTCAAATTTTCAAAGCAATTGGTGAAGAAGTTCCGGAGATTACTGGTTTTGAACAAACGAACATTTACATTTTTATTTATATAGATTACACCTGGTTTTGTAGATATCATGGGATATACTATTTATCAGTTTTTGATGACTATACATTAATAATTCCATAATTATTTTAAATTGTATCTCATCCATGGAATAAAATATAAAATGGCCAGAAATATTTATTACTGCTTTCTGATTGTTGAACAAAAGTTTATGTTTGTTATCAAGAAGAAGTTTAAAAAATTTTGTTCAGCTGCAAAATATGCATAATTGGAATTTTTTTATTTTTTTTACATTTTTAATTCCTTATGAATTTTTATTTTTACAATTCTCACTATCTGACAACTAGTAATTATTTTTATTGTATCAGTTATGTTCCCAGATAAATAGATTTTATTTAAATAAAAGTATTTGTATTACTATTTAGCCTATACTTATCTTGTATTCAGGCCATGCCCTCATAGACCTTCTTCAGAGATCTGTTGAAACACCTCCTCAAGTTGGAATTCGAGTACTCTGCCGTCATCCATTTCAAGAATCCAAAAGAGCCTATGTCATACCTGCAAAAGTTGAATCTCTCCTAAAAGTAATTTATATATATATATTATCTTCCACCTTTCAAATATAATTTTTTTTTATTGTGTCTTTTGTGATGTGCTATTTGGAAATAATGAGTGTTAAGAACTGTTTTTATGGTAAAACTCATTATTATCAAACTACTGCCAAACCTCCATGTATCGAACATGAAATTTCCAATAAAACTATGATATATAGACATTTTTCAAACTAAAAATAATTATAGTTATATTTTTGGTTTTTAAAAAAGTACCAAAAACAATTTTTTAGGGCATTCATGTATTACATTTATTTAAATATCATCTCTCATGCTGTAAAAGAAATTTACAACATAAAATTGTATTTCTCTAAATAGTAAATTAATTTTAGGTTTAATTATATTTTCTATTTTATTCTATCTTCGATGAATTTTCCCTTTGTGAAATCAGAAAATTGTGTGCTTGGAACTATGATTGGTACATAAAAGGATTTGTGTCAATTTAGTGCCCTTATTGTGTTTTTGTTATCAATAAATAAGGGCAAAATTAACAAAAATCTCCTTAAAAGTTCAGCTTCATTAGAAATGTTCTTAATGACTTTTTGCAATAAACTGATTACATAAGGTAATAAATTCCAATAGTCCATTTTATAATTTTTATTATTTCATATTTTTCTTCAACAGTTTTTGTTCTAGGATATAATGAGGTGGAAAAGATCTAACTCATCTCATTTAACTAATTTCGGAAGAAATACTTTCACCTTCTGATGTTTTAGTATAAATACTTTTGAAGAAAAAAATAAATAATAAAAACTAGAAAATTGACTTGGTTGGTTTTGGAATATAACACCTCATGAGAAAGTTATTTTAAATTTAATTTTATCTGCAATCACTTACATAATTTTTTATTTTATTTTATTTTTTAAGTTATATTGGAGTGATGGCGCAATTCAAGTAAAACTTCCATCACTTGATGGGGTTCGGAACAGAGTTCAATCTTCATTGCAAACACTACGCCAGGACCACAAGCGTAATTTGAACCCAACTCCGTATAAGGTACTAGAGGTAGAGCTAATTTTTTTAATGTTGATATTTCATGTTATTATTCAGTAGCTTGCTTAAATAAAATAAAAATATATAAATTTTAAAATCTATATTATAATGTAACTGTCATTGTTAATGTTTGTTATTCTTTGGAGACTAAACGTCCCAGAACAAAATTTACTTTCCTTCTTTCTTAAATTTTAATGTTAGTATTGTTTATTTCTGATGTTTAGATCATAAAGGGTTAAAAATTAAAACAGTTCCTTTTTTTTTAAATTTTAATATTGAATTGGTCTTATTTTTAATACTAGGGTGTAAACAAAGACTCAAGAGTTTTCACATTCAAATTCTTAAAATACTACTATCCATCTTTATTTATTTTCTTTCTCTCTTTTTTTCTTTCTCATTCTCATATAGTTCAATTATCATATTATTTTAATTTGTACAATAGCACTGAAACACGTGTGAGTAATTTTTTTTTTAATATAAAATAAATCAAAATCAATCTGAATTTATTTACTTGACATTAATTTATTTAAATAATATTTTATTTATGCCATACAAGTTGGTTGGTGGTGCAATCTGTGATGAAATAAAATACATAAATAAGAAAATGGTTACATTTTGACCTAAATTTTTTACCTACATCAGGGCTAAATGTGTATGGTTCTCACAGCAAAGGCTAAAAGTGTTTTGACATTTGATATGAGAACATTATGCATGTCCACCTGGAGAAGGCCAAAAATTTATCCTGAAACATCACCATAAGTTAAACGAAGTATTTTTGTTGTTGTGTTTTATATTATCACTGACAGCACCTCCCAACCAACTTCTCCTACAGTTATTTCTTAATTAACTTGGTTCACAATTCTTCCATTATTATTTAAGTTTATAAAATTTTAATTTTTATTTCTTTTGCAGGTTGCTGTGAGCGATGATTTATATAATTTTATCCATGATTTGTGGCTTGAAAATGCTCCTATAGGTGAGCTGTCTTGAAATGTTCAAATCGTTGAGACATTGACTTTCATTAATTAACAAGTGCTTACAGTTTTGCACTAGCGGGAGCAAAACACAAATATTAAAAGACAGGGTCCGTCCGAATCGATATACATATATTTTATCGCTTCTTTTACCATTCATAGAAGGAAGTGGAATATAAATTTTGAATAAAACCCCCGATTTCCTACTCCTGTCCTAGGCTACTTAATTTATGTAGCTGGCTAATTAGGAAAAACCAAGGCAGATCCACTGAGGTCAGAGGTCATTGCTTTTTGCACAATCGCTTCTTTAGAAAAAATAATAAACACTTCGAAAACATTGGCAATAAGGATTTTAATGTAAGAATAAGGAATCAATTAAGATTTGACCTGTTCAATTAATTTAATTGAATTTTATATTTTTGTAATTGATAATTGTTAAACTGAAGCAACTATATGACTGTTACTCTCTTATTTATTTGTGCAAAATACTTTATTGTTATTATTTCTACTGTCTTAAGAACTATATATTAACTTGGGATTTTTTAATGAAAAGTAATCAATTTGTTTTTATAAGTTAAAGCTTATTTTAGCTCTTGTTTTTTTTTTTCTATTATGAAGGCCTGTATGGATTTAATGTGGATTTCTACTATTGTTAATGTTACCAACATTTTCCTTTTCTTTTAAATAAGTTTCATTTTTAACATATATATTTTCTTTATACTATGTTCCAATGAAATTTAGATGTTAATGCCTTAAGATATAAATGTATATATTTAGTAAATGATGTATGTACATAAAAATAACAGAGAAATAGCTTATGATTTTTATTTTTAATAATTCAGTTCATTAGTTAGGGTTCTGACTAAGCATTTAATTAAAAATTCACATTTGGAAAGATTTTATTGTTAATGGCTTTAATTTATTTTGGTTTATGTTGGGTCAAATCATTTTTTTTTTTATTTTTTTTTTATTATGGATGTATATATATGCAGAAAAATTGAGATCAATACAGTTGCTAATTTCAGCAATTTTTGTATATTTAAAAAAAATTGTGTGATATGTATATTGTTTGTCGAAGAGTAAGTAGGTATATGATGAATTATACATGAACAATTTTTTTTTAAATTGTAGTTTTAAAACCGAGAAAATTAGTTTTAAAAAATATATATATTATTTGCAATTTTATTTTTATAGTTTTATAAATTTATAAGTGTATAAGGTTTTGGCTATTGTTGTTAGGCACAAGGGCAACTTTTGTAAAACTGTTTCTCATGGTGGTTCAGTTTTGAGTTACCAGATGTTATTTATTTTGTATTTATTGTGTTCATGTCGAGATCCTATCTTTAATCTTGTAGCAAATTTTAGTAATAAATCTTAGAAAATAAGTTACCACTTCTTTCTTTAGTTATCAGTTGCTTGTCTGCTAACAATTGAATTATTATTTTAAAATAAATATTCATTTATTTTAAAAGTAAATATTTATTATTAAAAATGCAGATAAAATTGTCAGGGATAGAAGTAGTAAACCTTTGTGGCAAACAGTCATGTTAATTTAGCCCCTTTTAGTAAAAATGTATATATTTATTTTTATGTGATTTAGTTTTTATTTTGTCCAATTTGAGTAAAGATGATAAGTTTTGGAGAATTTGTTGTTCAATAAGCAGTACAATAAAATTTTTTTAAATATCTTATGATGATTACATTTACAGTACTCCTACTTCCAATTCTTTTTTTTTTATTTTCTTAGTTTTTGTGTATTAAATGCAAAATATATTTGGTGTGTATTAAACTACAATAGTTAAAAAAAAAAAAAAAAAAAAAAAAAAAGTAGCGAACAGGTATTTCATTTGATGTTGCTGCACCATTGACTACATTTTACAGAACTAATTAAAATATATAATATAAATATATGATTATCTGCTGACAAAATACATTGATATGATATCCTATTTAAAACATAAGATGTCTGTCATTTTAAACATTTCATAAATAACTTCCTTGATCCCTGAAAACATTTTAATTCCATCTTTTCTTCTTATTCTTCCATATCTTGCCGACTTCTACCAGCATTGTGAGGGGTTCCTGCTTGTACAGTCTGATCCCAGAGCCTCGATCCTGTACCAGCTAGGTTGCACCTGTTCTAATCTATACCTCTCTTGTTGATTGCCTCCTGAACTGCTTATTCCCAAATGTTTTGGGGCCTTCTTCCCTCAACTCTTGTTTTTTAGGTAATTTTAGTGCTTTTTTTCCTCCTGCATCCTTTTGATAGGACCAACTCTAGGTTAAGGATATGATATTCCAGGTTACTTCTAATTGTCGTGTTCTTGACCCTATCTCTTCTTGTTTTTCCTTCTGTCATCCTCAGGTACCTCATCTCCATTGCTTGTATTTGACTCCAATGTCTTGATGTAAGTCACTGGTGAAGGTCAGTAGGGTTATGAATGTCTTATATACTACTTTTTTAACATTTAGATATTTCTTTCATTCCCAGGAAACCATAGTTGAGTGAATGGAAGCATTTCCCGGCTAATTTTATTCTTTCTCGGACCAGCCCCTTCCATTCAGCCTTTTTCATTGAGGTGAGCCCCCAAGTACCTGAAGTCTGACTTACCGGGGTGCCCATCCCTCCAAAGATTGGTGGCGCAAGAACGTTCCCCCCCTCCTCCCAAGATATTTTATTATTCACTTTTTAAAAACGAAGCAAGCTAAGGTAGAATTAGAAAAATTGTAGATCTTATAAAATTACACTTGCTGCGGTCTGTTCTGGTTTTCCCCTTGTCAGATTGTTCAAAAATTCATAATCCCGTCGAAATTTGTCCCCCTTAAAAATTCAAAAACTCATCAAAATATGCCACCCTCAAAAATTTTGATGGCGCAACTTTCGCCATGAAAGCTCCTTCTGACTTGTTCCAACTCCTTTCCCTTTAGTCGAAGTATTTGGTCTCCCCATTCTTACTCTCTTTCTATTCTCATTACTTTTTTTTTTTTTTTTGGTGTTAATCACTATGTTTAATAATTAAAATTTTGTAGGATTCCGAGGTTAAATTGTAAAAATTAAATTTCCACTATTCCTGAATACAACTATGTCGTCAGCATAGGCTAGGAGTGTTAGATAAATGAAGTTAATTCTCTGTGGCCTCATTCTTGTCTTTGCCACTTGTAAGGCCATGTTAAAGACCATTATAAACAGAAGTGGGCTAAGACTACAGCCCTGCCTTATTCATTGGGTGATCTCAAACTCTGGATGAGTGGTTGTTGGTTCTCACCGCATTTATTTGCTTTTTATACAAACAAAGTAAACCCCCTGATTTGACATTCTGTTCTTCCAGAGGTTTTGGCTATATCGGTCTTCCTGACTGTCGAATACTTTTATAAGATGGAATCATGTGTATAAGTAACTACAAAAAATGAAAATTGATCTTTAAAGTACTTTTTAGATGATATGTTTGGGACCAAGAAAGAATTTCTGTGTATGTTCATTTTGCCTTTCTAAAGATTTATTACCATTTCATTAAATTATATCATTAATATTACTGAAATTCTTATTGAAGTCAAAAAATTTCAGCTGGTGTTAATCACCCATCATGCAGAACATGATTTTAATGCTGTGTACTTGTCTGTGATTTTGAAGGTAAGGAAGAATGTACACGGTATATTTTTTATTTTTTAAATGTATTATTAAAATAATGTTGATTTTATTATTGTTTTTTATATTTCTAGATTGTGCTTTGACTCTCAGCAATTATATTGGTTGAGAAAAAGAAACAAAGGACATCATTAAAACATTAATGATTTTATTAGACAGTTTTTTCTAATCCTTTAAACTAAGAGTTTTATGTTTTAACTTCTTTAGGCTTCTATGTTAAGCATTTAAAAGTTAGTGCATGTTTACTAGGAAATGAATAACATAATGTATACAACTCCCTAAACAGGTTATCTTAAGCATAAAATTTTGATGTTTTGGTAAACAGAGTTCAATTTCAAAATTTTCTTCTCTGATCAATCTATTACTTATGCTTTGATTGTAAGAGGGTAGTGTAAGGAGTCATCATAAGCTCTCTAAATCATGGATTTAAAATACGTTTACTGTGTATGGATTCTCTTGTGCTGCCAGAGTCAAAACAACTTTAATTTTTCTGTCACTCCTTTCACTGCCCACTGCCCCCTAATAAAAGCCTACACTTTATAACAATATTTTAGGTAATATATTTCAATATAAATATCAATATTAACTCATTTTATTGATTAAATTAAGATTAAAAAAATTAATGACTATTTTTTTTCCTAAGCTGAAATAGAAATGCCCTATAAATTTGTTGCCCAAGGGTGAGTGATCCCTTTCCACTCTATGCTAGATTCCTCCCTATATATTGCCTTTGTCATTTTCTACAAAAATTTTACGTGGTCAATTCCTCCTTTCATTAACAATCCTTTTTTGATTCTTTCTGTGCAGTCCCTTCTTCTTAAATACTGTTATCTACATACCCAAAACATTAGTCTTTTTGTTATTAGGGAGTTCTCATAACAAATCAAACCCTTCTGATCATTACCCAACTCCATCTAGAGCAGATAATGCCTACCTAATATACAAAGAACTTGTCTTATTACAAACCTGTTTTAATTTCTATAAATACCATCCAACCTCAGTATGCCCACAATTTAGAATAACCTTCTCTAGTTGCATTAAACAAAATAGTCTCCTTTTCTAAATTTGGAGAATTATTAAGTATTGTCTTATTGCCTATGGGCGATAAAAAGGTCTACTTATTTTTATTTATTAAATTCTGTTTAGAGATTTATCATAATTATAAATATTTTTCATGGAACTCCTGATAGTATATACATAGTAATGTTATAAAATATGTCCTTATGAATAATATCTTAGTCTTTATCAAATGCCATTTTTAGGATTTACTATCAATAAATATCTCCAATTACTATTGAATGTGGTATTTCACTACTACATGCTAAAGTAGTTTTCATAAGCATGAATAAAATTAAGATCCATGGTTGAAAATAACTTTACAGTTTCAATGCGATTAGCAGAAAGTGAAGTACATGTTTTTTTTTCAGATACAGATAAAGGAATGCCTCACAAATCAAACCTTATTTACACGTAAGTTTTTCACCACTTAACAGCTTTGAAAGGTGGCAAACACATTCTCTTATTAAATAGTAAGTAAAAAATAAAACAATGAATTGGGACTGGTGTTTCTTCAGTAAGAATAATCAAAGAACAGCACACTCAGTCTGAATTATTTAAAAAAAAAAAGGCATAAGGTTGCATATTGTTTACCAAATCCTGTTACAACATAAGTTACAGTGCTTTGTGAACGAGTTTGTTATAAGGAATATAGAATTGAAGACCATGAAAGTTAACTCAACTTTTGTTAATTCAACTAGTGAACCAGATCAAACCAAAACCTAGGAGTTTAGACTTACTGACCACAAAGCTCTATACTACTCTTGATATATGGCAGTTCAGCACTGATTTATAGGAATTGTTTTATTTTTCAGTCTAGTACCTTGGGTACCCCATTTCAATCCTCAAAATGTTATAAATTAATTATATATATTAACTAGTTGTTCATACCACTATCAGAGACATACCTAAGAAA